ATTTAATTTTTTTTCTACATCGTTTTTATTCCTTCCTATTCGAAAATAATCTTTTTTTTTTTCTTTCAGAAATATTTTTCTTATTTTCCATTTGTCTTTTTTTATAACAAACGCTTCATCAATTAAATATTTTACCTCGGTTAACTGTATAAGAAAAAAAGGTATGTCCCTTCAGGACGTAGGTGATCGAGGCTTTCAGCAAATACTTGTTTCTTTATTCTATGAATTGAAAAGACTTCTTAATAAATATAGTGGAGCTTTTTTAATACTATTGTTCACCAAATACAAGGCCCAATAGCCTCTCTGGGTAGAGTGTTATTGAATAGGATTCTTGAAGGCAAGTAGAGTTGAAGAGATAAAGAACATATCTGTCAGGAAAGCATCTTCCCGTTCTGGGTATGACGATAAACTACGTCCGCGTGCTGGGTAAGACGTTAAACTAAGTCCAACAGCAAGGCCTCGGATCAAGAGGTTTGAGGAGCGTGAAACCACTTCTTAATTGCTGGTGATCCCTGGTCCACACTGAACCGGGATGGTAGCATCTGTTAGGTTCCCAGCTATGGGCAAATAGTTAACACCCAAACTAGGGTCAAAACACTATGAATGAGTAAAAATGGGATTTAATACCAGAAATACTTTATAAAAAAATTATTACCAGCAATAGAGTTTTTGAAAAAAACATTACCAAAAATTCATTTAAAAAAATATTACCAGAAATACGTTTAAAAAGATATTACCAGCTATGCATTTTTTGAAAAAAAAATATTACCAGCGAAGGAAAATTATTACCAGAAATAGATTTTTGATGGAAAAAAATATTACCAGAAATTTTTTGGAGGAAAAAATATTACCAACAATGAAAATTTTTTTCGCCATTGAATAATCCATTGAGGTTGATAGGCCGTAAAACAAACGAAACCAAACCAAACAAATGCATCTTCTCCAGAGCCGGTTTGAAAAATTAAACTTCCTCCTTACCAATGGAATATGAAGAGAATACAGATGATTCGACCTCGTTTACGTGGCAGGGTGTGTCATAATTGTAGGGGTTTGAACTGGTGGAACAAAGGCTGTAGGTGGCCTGAAATCTTAACATAGAAACGGCAATAGATTAGCGATATTTCGTCGGTTAGAAAGGGGTTTTAGAGTAGGAAATAATCCATTACCCACAAGGCTGCCATGGCTGCATAATGCTCATTGGACAATTTCATCTTAGACATGAGACCATTACTCAGTTTTGGGCCTGTTCTGACTGTTGTCAATATAGAGCATTTTTATGGAATTTTCCTCGTTGCCTTCCCCCACTGCATCGAATTTTAACTTGGGACATAGCTTGTAGAAGGCAATTAGAATGGTTTCAGGCCTTTCGAAAGTACGTCAGTGAATGAAACAGACGAGGACAAAGTTTGATCTCGTCTCGCCGATTCCATTTCGCGTGGCAGTTGATATTACGCCATCAGACATTCAGTTAAAGTTGCATATTCCCATTTTGTTATTAACTGTCAAGTCCTTACGTATATATACTTAAATAAAAAAAACTTAATGCAGTACCTTGTCAATGGCCTTTAATGAATCTAGCCATAATCATCTGTATGCGTTTTCTTTTTCTGTCCATCACCTTTGCCCCTGTCTATCCCACACAGTGGCAATACAAAGGCTACCAAAAATGGTGATATATTGTAAGAGCCAGGACGCAAATTTATTGTAGCTCAACTACCGATCAAGATTTTTTTCTAAATACTGTTTGTTGATATATACAAAATTATGAATCCCTATATATATGTGTGTGTGTGTGTGTGCAAATATATAGTAAAATAGGAAAGAACCGCTAGTTATTGAGGTTAATGCGACTTGCATCATAATTTCAGACGAACAGCATATATATATATATATATATATATATATATATATATATATATATATATATATATAATAATAAGGCTTAAACACTAGTATTCCATGGTCATAATTTATTCCATTGGAATTGTACATACGATCCAATTCATCAGACCTACAAATTCAAAAAGAAAACAGAAAAAACAACTCCGGAAATCAAAAATAGAATTTAGAGAGAGTGTAAGTATGAGAGTGTAGGACAAATGTTAGAGCAAAAGAGAGGGGTAACAGACGAGAGAAGGTGGGAGATTAAAAATTAACAGAGAGAAGTTTTTGAGAGGTGTGTCAAGTTTGAGTGAGACAAATATGAATGTTGTCAGATGTCTAATACATTAAAGATTTCATTGGTCTGGCCTTTCGACGTCCACGCATGCGCACGAAACTAGAGACGCTGGTTGTTTCAAAATTTATGACAGAATATTTTTGAGAAATCATCTGTATTTTTTTCTATTTCTCTCCATCACCTTTGTTACTGGACAATATAAAATCTATCAAGGATGTTGATATATTGTCCGTTTTGCTAACGGTGAGCAACCAATGCGTTTTCTGTCTTAAAATGTTCCCTTTCGTGTTCACGTAGTTTCTTATTTAAACTAGTTGAGGTAATCTGCATGCATATGGCGAGAATTGCACAAAAGACCATCAACAGTACAGGAGAATATATTGTATCCAAGTGCAGCAGGAACACTGTTAGATATTTATTTTGCTTTCTCGTTTCATGTAGTCGACTGATGGTTACTTCATAGTGCAGCTATATCAGTGTTGTACTTCTTTAGCTCCAATGCAACCAGAGCTGTTTTTCATTCTGGTGCTGATTTCTTGTTCTGGAGAGTTCTTATATTCCAAGTGCCAAGATCAAGTTGTTTTTTGTTTTCTTTGGATTTTTAGTTTTTTGTCCTTATGCGTTTTCTTCCTGTCATGAATTAGATTTTACCCAAAGTAGTTTGTCAGGGATAGGGTTGTTCAATGAAAAACAAACAAAAAATCAAAATTAGGGGAGGAAAGATACAAAAAAAATATGAAATAGGGAAAGAAACTCTGACTTTTTCTTTATTTGCGTTTTCTTTTTTATTGAAAAGAAATTAAAAGACGTTAAACATCATTCTCTCCTTTCTCCTCGAATTCTCCTTTCTCTTTGATGTAGTATTTTGGCATTGTTGGTATTCAGAAACCAAGTCATTCTTTGATGGACCCTGGTTTTGATAATTCAATTTCGTCCATTCCTTCTCCCGTGTGCCAATGCAAGAATGCCTTTCGCTAATAAGCTGTTCAGAGGCTCCCTTCAATAATCGAACATACAAATAATTGAATATATATATGAAATTATTGATATGTACATTTAGTCAAGTATATATATATATATATATATATATATATATATATATATTAATCCCCACCGTCACCTTTAGGCCTTCCTGTTCTTCTTTCTTTTGTTACACCTCTCTCTATAGCTTTCATACATTTCCCTCTGACATTTGTTTCCCCCACTCCCACACATACACACTCACTAAATTTTTTTTTTTTATACCCGGGGTTATATTTTCCGATTTCTTTTTGAATTTGTAGATCTGATGAATTGGATCGTGATTACGATTCCAACATAATAAATTATAACCATGGAATATTAGTGCTTAAGCCATTTTATTATATATATATATATATATATATATTAATCGGACTATTGTCCTCATTTTTGTCGCCATATTTATTACAACGTTTCGGCCGTTGTACGCTCCGGCCTGCTTTATTTCGCTCACTGGGGTAGACTGTTCTAGTTTCATGTCTAATGGATGTCAATTATCAGTTATCTCCTGTTAATTCGTTCTCTACTACCTTAATCGGGTATTGAACTCGCACTCTTTGGGTCCTGTCATTGGATCTAACCAACGCCTTTATCCACTGTGCCATGTGTATCTGAAGATTATAAATATATATATGCAGGTGGGATGAGAATGAATAGAGTACAATTCCATCGTTCTCACTACCAATATATATATATATATATAATATTTAATTTAAATATATATATATATATATATATATATATATATATATATATATATATATATATATATATATATATATATATATGCGCGTTGACTTTTTAATCATTTCACCAAAAGGAAAGCAGTAGGGCAACTTAGATGCAAGCATACGAGAAAAAGACAAATTAAGGTAGATATCAATTAACATTGCATTTAGATTTTGAAGATCAAATATCAATGGAAAGTAAGACGTCAGAAAAATTTTACAAGTGAAAATTCTTGTGAACCCAGGTACGCGTTGGGAGATAAACGCGTGTCTCCTGAAATGCCGACAACAAACATGGCACACTCGGAGTATGAGTGCACCCAAAGAAACGTAAAGAAACAACAAAAACAGATATATACGTACAAACAAATGACAATATATTAACAGCAAATGTTTACAAGTGACAAAGATAATACTATGTCTAATAAATAAATGTGGAGACTTTCCGGTCTAAAGTATGTGACGTTAGTGAATGTGCGTACGTACGTGTATGTGCATGTATGTATTTTTCCTACGTTTCCCAAAAAGGGAACGCTATCATCCGCTAGTGATTTACATGCTGCCGTATATGCGGAAAAGTAAGAAGAGAGTGATAAAAATTATAGTATTGGAGAGCCTCCCCTAGGAGCAGTTTCGAAAATTAGGAGGTGGTAACCCGACAAAAGTATGAGAGAAGGAATTGTTACCATAGAACGTGCGGTTGCATCTATCCATTTTAACTGTAAAACAATGATACTACACTTAAATTAATACAGTAGAGGTGCCAAAAAGGAAAGCTTATCATAACAGATACCATGGAAATAGTTATAGAAACGGCGGGAAAGTGATTGAAGACAAGGTACCCGGAAAAGTCTGATAATGTTGCGAATTCTCCTTTGGATTTTGTCAAGCCTCTCTAAATATATAGCAGAAGCACAGCAATATTCAATTCATGGATGAATGATAGACTTTTAAATGTGTATGAAAAATCTTCTGGCACGACACAGTGAACCAACTTTCGTAGCAGCAGACCTAGAGAACGATTCAATATATTTATGTCAGCCAAAATCGTTGGCCCCCCCAAAAATGTGCACTGAATCAAGATCCTGGGGAATAGGGGATAGCATCGGCCATAGATAGATAGATAGATAGATAGATAGAAATGAACAACCTGGGATAGATAGATAGATAGATAGATAGATAGATAGATAGATAGATAGATAGAAACAAAAAGTGATAGATGTGAACAAACTTTGATAGATAGATAGATAGATAGATAGATAGATAGATAGATAGATAGATAGATAGATAGATAGATATGAACAACCTGGGATAGATAGGTATAAACAAACTGTGATAGATAAATAGATATAAAAAATGTTATAGATAGATAGATAGATAGATAGATAGATAGATAGATACATAGAAACAAAAAGTGACAGATTGATAGATAGATATAGAGATAGATGTGAACAAACTTAGATATAAACAAAAAGTGATAGATAGATAGATAGATAGATAGATAGATAGATAGAGATAGATAGATAGATAGATAGAAACAAAAAGTGACAGGCTGATAGATATTAACAAAAAGATAGATAGATAGATAGATAGATAGATAGATAGATAGATAGATAGATAGATGGAAATGAATAACCTGTGATAGATATAAAAATACTGTGATAGATAGATAGATAGATAGATAGATAGATAGATAGATAGATAGATAGATGGAAATGAATAACCTGTGATAGATATAAAAATACTGTGATAGATAGATAGATTGATAGATAGATAGATAGATCTTAAGAGACTGAGATAGATAGAATTCCAAGAGTTAATCTCTTGAGTGTTAACTTGAAAATCAATGTCATAGATCTGCCAACTACTTCATTCTCATTGTTGCTATCTTTGACAGACTTTCATTTAAAATACAATCACTGCATTTTAAAAGACGAAACCAGTTAAAACATTTAAAAAAATATATAAAAAAATTAAACAATCAAAAAAGAGCCAAAAAACTCAAAAGTAATGAAATTCAGTTAAAACAGAGGAAAAAAAAATTAAAAATGCAAGGGTACATTTGGTCCCCTTTACTCTTCTGTCTTCACCCTAGACCTGTCTTTCTGATTTTCTTTCTTCCATTCCTGACGCCATGGATACATGTATATCTAGAGTGGAGATCGACATCAAAAAACGCAAGTGGAAAGGTACGTCATTTCGCCAAAATCAAATTTACATTTAATCATGTCACGTGAAACAAGAAAAGAAAAGAAAAAAAAAGAATATAGAAGAAAAAAAATGTATAAAACAGTCAATCGACAAACAAGAATAAATATCTAAATTTCTGTGAAGGAATTTCTATTGTTTCTTTTTGTCCTTCCGTATATTATTGTCGTTTACTCCATCCATCGCTCCGTTCATCGATCTGATTTGTAAAAATTTCCCCAGAGAACAAGTAATCAGTGATTCGTTACTTTCTTAATCGCATGATCGATATTTCCGATGTCAGGTACCCCCCACGCCAACCCCAGCGGAACCAGCTGGCCAGATTGACGAGCAACTCATTTTAATTAGCGAGCTTTGAAAATCTTAGAAATTAACGATTATCTTCCCTTGTTTACTTCACGGAATCCGCATGGTTGAAATATTTTAAATTCTTTCTATGGATTCTTCTTTGATGTGTCGCTTCACTTTCCAGACGTAAGCGATCATGGCTTTCCACAACTTCCTATCCTTTGTGTGTTCGTTATCTCCCCCGAACCCAGTTTGCTTGGCTTTGATTTACGGCATATCAACCTCAATGGCTTATTTTAATGGCGCCAAATTTTTATTACTGGTAATATTTTTTATCTATCTATCTATCTATCTATCTATCTATCTATCTATCTATCTATTGTGCTGGCTGTCTACCTACCTATCTATTTCAGTATATATTGATTTGGTTTGGTTTGTTTTACGTCATATCAACCTCAATGGCTTATTTAATGGCGACAAAATTTTTATTGCTAGTAATATTTTTTATCTATCTATCTATCTATCTATCTATCTATCTATCTATCTATCTATCTATCTAATTTGCTGGCTGTCTATCTACCTATCTATTTTAGTATATATTGATTTAGTTTGGTTTGTTTTACGTCATATCAACCTCAATGGCTTATTTAATGGCGACAAAATTTTTATTGCTAGTAATATTTTTTTATCTATCTATCTATCTATCTATCTATCTATCTATCTATCTATCTATTGTGCTGGCTGTCTATATACCTATCTATTTCAGTATATATTGATTTGGTTTGGTTTGTTTTACGTCATATCAACCTCAATGGCTTATTTTAATGGCGACAATATTTTTATTGCTGGTAATATTTTTTATCTATCTATCTATCTATCTATCTATCTATCTATCTATCTATCTATCTATTTTAGTATATATTGATTTAGTTTGGTTTGATTTGCTCTGATTTACGGCATATCAACCTCAATAAGTTATTTAATGACGACAAAATTTTTATTGATGTTAATATTTATCTATCTATCTATCTATCTATCTATCTATCTATCTGACTGTCTGTCCATCTATCTATCTATCTATCTATCTATCTATCTATCTATCTATCTATCTATCTATTTCAGTATATATTGATTTGGTTTGGTTTGTTTTACCTCAATGGGTTATTTAATGACGACAAGATTTTTATTGCTGGTAATATTTTTTTTTTCAAAACGTATTTCTGGTAGTAGTTTTTAAAAGGGTATTGCTGGCTAATTTTTTTTTTTAAATGTATTGCTGGCACTTTACTTCCAAAAAAATAATTGTTGGTAATAATGTATTGTTGGTAATAATTTCTACAAAAATATATATCCTGATCAGAGGCCTTGCTGTTGGCTGAAGTTTATCCTCATACCCAGGACGATATTGGAAACTGTATAAGAGTCCATATCCTAATTGATATTGTATTTAATAAAGGTGTAAAGTTTCCATATAAGGAAATGGCTAATATTAGTATTATGGGATATCTGTGTAAACGAAATCTATATCGGTTTGTTTTGTTTTGCTTTATTTTTTTTGCTTTGTTTTGTTTTACGGCTTATCAACCTCAGTGGGTTATTTAATGCCGACAAAATTGTTATTGCTGGTAATATTTTTTTCCAAAAATGTATTGCTGGAAATATTTTTTCAAAAAGATATTGCTTGCAATATTTTTCATTTTCAAAAATGTGCTGCTTGTAATAATTTTTCAAAAATGTATGTATTAAAACCAATTTTTTATACTTTTATAGTGTTTTGAACCCCTTTTGATGAGTAGGGGGTTTACAATATGCGCATATCTGAGACCCTAACAGGTGCTACCACCCCGGGTCAGGATGGACCTGGGAACACCAGCAATTAAATAGTGGTTCCATGCTCCTCAAAACCTCCTGATCAGGGGCCTTGCTGTTGGACGTAGTTTATTGTTTTACGCAGGACGCTGATGTAGTTTATCGTCTTACCCAGGGCGCGGGTGTAGTTTATCGTCTTACCCAGGGCGCGGATGTAGTTTATCGTCTTACGCAGGGCGCGGATGTAGTTTATCGTCTTACCCAGGGTGCGGATGTAGTTTATCGTCATACACAGGGTGGACAGAGGAAAGAAAATAATAACATAACAAATGAGATTGTCTAAATGGATAGCAGAACAGGAATAAGGTGGAATAGTGGAAAACCAAAATTTACCCAGAACTACAAAGCATACAAATAAATATAGGGTGGACCTGGGGACGCCAGCAATTAAGAGGTGGTTACATGCTCTTTAAAACCTCCTGATCAGAGGCCTTGCTGTCGGACGTAGTTTATCGTCTTACCCAGGAAGCGGATGTAGTGCTTCGGCTGTTACTTTCTGCATCCTTCCGGACTGACTTGACGTTACAGATTTACATTTACAGACTATAAGTGTATTCATCGTCTCGGTATTTACCCGAGGTCCTCACAAAGCGGGTTGTGGCACAAGGTCGGTTTAACGTGTTTTTTTTTCCGAGCCGTAGGTCCGAGCGAAAATTCTCTGTCGACCCCGTAATAACAGGGTCGGCTTTGTGTACATCCTCAGACGAGACTCTGCTCTTCAGCATAGCCTCATCTTGTCCCTGACAGCTTAGCACGCATGCAAGACTTAATGCTAACACATTTTCATTTCCTTCTGACACTTGTTTGAATATTTTTGTTAAGAAATTAATATTATTTAAATTTGTTTAAATTATAATAGCAACAGAATGCTTCAGCTGTTACTTTCTTCGGCCTTCCAAATGTTTCAATTGATTTTAGACAGTTACATTATTTACACTATTCGGACTGTTATCCTCATCTTCATTGTCATATTCACAACGTTTGGACCGATGTACGCTCCGGTCTCCTTCAGGTGATTGGAATTTCGAACCCTACCCTTTATAGGGTAGATTGTTCTTGTTTCACGTGCCATGCCTCTTGCAGATGTCTCAGTTATATCCCTTTTACTCAGCTCTCCATGTTTTTGGCTCACCACTGCTGTGGCCTGGTATTGAACTCACAAGTATTTGGGTCTAGTCGCTGGATCTAACCAACATCTTTCTCCACTGGGCCATGTATTCTTGAGGACAATCTACCTCGAATTCCAATCACCTGAAGAAGGCCGTTGTGAATATTTCACTGAAGATGAGGATAACATTCCGAATAATGTAAATAATGCAAGTAATCATAATACCTCATCTCAGAGATATAGAGGCCGAAACATTGTGAATATAGCAATGGAGATGAGGATAACAGTCAGAAAAATGTAAATAATGCAAGTAATCATAATACGTCATCTCAAAGATATAGAGGTCCAAATGTTTTAAATATGGCAATGAAGATGGGGATAACAGTCCGAATAATGTAAATAATGCAAATAATCATAATACCTCATCTCAGAAATATAGAGACCGCAATGCTATGAATATGGCAATGAAGATGAGGATAACAGTCCGAATAATGTAAATAATGCAAGTAATCATAATACGTCATCTCAGAGGCTGCAATGTTGTTAATATGGCAATGAAGATGAGGATAACAGTCCGAATAATGTAAATAATGCAAGTAATCATAATACGTCATCTCAGAGATATAGAAGCTGCAATGTTGTGAATATGGCAATGAAGATGAGGATAACAGTCCGAATAATGTACATAATCATAATACGTCATCTCAAAGATATAGAGGTCCAAATGTTTTAAATATGGCAATGAAGATGAGGATAACAGTCCGAATAATGTATATAATGCAAGTAATCATAATACCTCATCTCAGAGATATAGAGGCCGAAATTTTATGAATATGACAATGAAGATGAGGATAACAGTCTGAATAATGTATAGAATGCAAGGAAACATAATATCTCATCTCAGAGATATAGAGGCCGAAACGTTGTGAATATGGCAATGAAGATGAGGATAACAGTCCGAATAATGTAAATAATGCAAGTAATCATAATACGTCATCTCAGGGATATAGAGGCCGCAACGTTATGAATATGGCAATGAACATGAGGATAACAGTCCGAATGATGTAAACATCGCAACTAATCATAATACCTCATCCCCAAGATATAGACAGATGTTTTTTTTTTTCGACAGACTTGACATACATAATTACATTTACAGACTGATAACTCTAAGGATACTCATTTTCTCCTCTTGAATTCAGAAAGACACAATGTATACTCATGTTAGTTCAGCACGTCGAATGTACGTGAAACATGATTAACCTAAATTTTGACTTTATCATTCTGTCGGATTCCAATACATATTTGATCTACTGCTGATCCCAACTCATCAGACAATGTATGTCTAAACTTCTTCTACAAGGCCCAAGAGCCATTCGAGGTAGCAAGTTACAGAATAAAGATACAATTCATGAGGTTATGCGGAGAAGGTAACCGCTATGGCTAGACTTGAATTGGATAAGATTCCAGTGAGCAAAGAAGTATCGTCTTGGGAGTCGATTCCACAAAATAGCGGTTCTTGAGAAAAAGCTGCTCGAGTGGAACTTACATCACACCAGTGGAATACGAAGGTAATGAAGCTGGTTCGCTACAATGGGCGTGGCAGGGTGGGTCTTAGCAGTGGAGTTTAGGAATGGTGGAACTAAGCAGTGTATTTCCACTCAACACTTT